TGTTGTATATATATATATATATATATATATATATTCTCAAAATACTGATTGAGAAAAGATTTTTGCAGTGCAGTTATTTTTTTCCTACACAAATCCAATCACACATTCTCACTCTGAATAATTGTTATGTCAAGACATTTCTCTGCCATTATATGGCAGTACATCAAAAAGTCACTGTTTTGATACTATTCCTGCCAGTCCTTTCATTTATATTGCCCACGCTGACGTCTCTGCTCTCTCTCTCTTTGTCCTTCTCAGCTGGATCCCTGCCCTCCATTAGTAAGCGGCGAATCTCCTGCAGGGACTTGGGTCAGGGTGATTGTGAGGGCTGGCTCTGGAAGAAGAAGGATGCAAAGAGTTACTTCTCTCAGAAATGGAAGAAGTACTGGGTTGTGCTAAAAGATGCCTGCCTATATTGGTACACCAATGAAGAGGTGAGGGCACGAGGTCATTCATCTGCATGATGAAAGCACAAAATGGCCCATTAGACTGCCTGCATAAACTCCCTGCTTACCCAGAACACATCAGTATATCTCAGTTTTTCATTTCTGTTCTTTCTCAGGATGAGAAGGCAGAGGGCTTTGTCAGCCTGCCTGAGTTCAACATTGATCAGGCCAACGAATGTCGCAAAAAGTTGTGAGTAGTAGAATAAACTAGAAGTAAAACAGTTCTCATATAAAACATAAAAACTAACAGTTCTCATAAAAAACTTTAATGCAGCTTTGCATACAATGCTGACTTTGTGTCTCTTGCCTGTTTTCAGTGCTTTTAAGGCTTGCCATCCTAAAATCAAGAGCTTCTACTTTGCTGCGGACAACATGGATGATATGAATAGGTAAGATGAAAATAAACTTTCCAGCATGCCTATAAAAGCAAAAAAGACTCATAATGTAATCTGAAACATTGTCAATTCCTCATGAATGCTCTAGTCAGGATCCTGCATCTCATTTAATGTTCCATGAGCTGATCAAAGCTACTAATTTTAGCGACATCCCGAAAGACTATTTCATCTCTGCATTTCAGCAGTGTGAAGAGCTCCCCAGGTAACTTTTGTTTTGTTTTTTTTGTTTGCTCGCAGGTGGCTCAGTCGACTGAACATGGCGGCAACAGCTCACTCGGAGCAGAAGAGGATTCGACAGGATCATGGTGAGAAGATGCCTTCATGCTTCGCTAAGCCTGTCAGATCAATTATTCTCCCACTCTGACTTTGTGTGGTCTGATCTGCAAGTCCTATAACTATATGCATATGAAGTACAACATGTTGGATGCATGTATGAGGCGTTTCAGTAAAAATAGAGGAAGTCATTTTTTATCATTTGTCAGTATAGTTTGTTCTTTATCATTTGATGAATAAATGCTAAAATGATGACAAGAAATGTACACGAACATCTTTCAAATTAATTTACTTTTACTACCTGCTTTCCACAGCCTTCAAATGTCATTATTCTTGGACTCCTCATGTGTTTAATGGATATTTGCTGTCATTTCCTCAGATTACTGGAGCGAGAGTGACCATGAGGATGCTGATCAGATGTCCTCAAAACCCAAACAGGATAGCCCTCCACCTCCATATGACATTTACCCTCACTCCACCTCAGTAAGTCTTGTCTGTCTTTCTTGTTTTTGTTGTTGTTGTTGTTGTTGCTTGGGTTCCTGTGTTTGCATTGTGTTTAACGTGTGAGTTCTTGCTTACATGTAATTGCATTACTGGCCAATAAGTGTTACTCCTGTCATATCAGACTCTCCGAGTCCTCCTTGGTCTATGCAAAATCATGCAACTCCGTTCCGCTCTGCTATACTTCTGTTTAAAAATTTGGGATCAGGGAGATTTTTTTTAAAGGGGTCATATGATACGATTTCAATTTTTCCTTTCTCTTTGGAGTGTTACAAGCTCTTAGTGCATAAAGAAGATCTGTAAAGTTGCAAAGACTAAAGTCTCAAATCCAAAGAGATATTCTTTATAAAAGTTGAGTTAGCCACGCCTACCTAAAACGGCTTGTTCTAACATGCCCCCACATGTCTACGTCACGATGTGGGAAGATTTGCATAACACCGCCCAAATGTTCACGCAAATAAAGAAGGCGTAACTTTTATTCTCGCTGTAGTATTGTTGTTGCCGCCGCCGCCATGTCGTGAAGGCGCTGTGTGTTTCGTTGTGAAAGCGAAACTACTTTGTTTGACCTTCCAAAAGAGGATGATATCAGCTTCGTCATGCCTGGAGCTGATCCGTGCTGGTCGCTGAGGAAATACATCAACTTTGCGCTGTGGATCGCCGGATCGGCTTTCAC